ATGATTATATGCATATGTATATTCATATACTCGTACATTTTTATGCTGTTGAAAAAGGAACAGTATATAATGACAAGACAATAATCAAATTGTATATTGTCTAGCAGCAAAAACAATATACAAATGAAGAGTAAAAGTTACCAAACTCTCAATTAAAGAATATTGTACAATCACACATGCACACATTTGCAAGCAAGCCACATACTGTTGGTCGAGCATTCCAGTTTACACCACATCATTTCTTCACTCCTGCTAGTGCAGCGAAGACACGAGGACATTGTGTTCCTTCAGACGCCTTTGAAAATGAGACAAACGGTTTTGCAACCGAAGGATGCCAGCAGCCTTTTGGGAAAGGATGGCATTCAGTTGGGACACATAGTGGTCTAGCTGATTCCCCGGTTGGTCTGCCTCAACCAAGAGATTCATTTCCTGTGAAACGGGTGGAGTGGGGATGGGGGGGCACAATGAAAACTTATTAACCTTCCATGTATGATAATAGTAATACGGCTAAAACCATATGATGATTGATGAGATTGGTTACCTCTTTCACAAGATCCATTGTTTCTTCCACCAGTCCTCGGTGCGCATTTACAAGTTCTTCCTCTTCCTGAAAAGATATTTGTGTAAGGCCAAAGAGAATCAACTGAGCGAAAGATCCTATTACTGATTGATAGCCAAGAGACTTTTTATTTCATATGGATGCGGCTAAGTTTAGATGACAACTAGAAGGCGTTGAAGTTATTGTTTTACCCTCATTCTATAGGATTGGTAAGTTACATGTGAGCAAAAGAAAGACATTTTAGTATTTTTTCCCCCTAAATGGTGACCGTAACATCACTTGATGTTTATTCTTTTCGAAGGCTACATTAAAGAGTCACCTTTAAGAGATCATTAAGCTCGTTTTCAGAAGCCAAATGCTTGGGCTCTTTAAACTTTGCCTGGTGATTGCTTTTACGAGTTTTTTCATCTGATATGGTAGTAGTGAGCACATCATATTTTGGCAGTGGTATCTCTCTTTCATAGGGTTCCTCATCCTCGGGCCCTGTGTCATCTTCATATGCTGATACGGAAGGTACGATTGCAGACAAGGGCATTGTTGTGGACTCCCTCAGATTAAGCGAAGAAGACAGAGCATCTCTCTTGGAGTTATTCCCTCCTTTCGAAAGGCTCTTCACCCTGTGCAATTGCAGAAATTTATTTTAAATAAAAATAGTGAAAAATGATACACTAATATTATGTTGAGATGGAGGTTACCTATCGGCATATCTCAATGTGTTTAGGGTATGTTCGCAGGACCCAGCATTTGGGGAGACGCAAGATATCATCACAGTTCGACTGTTTCCAACAAATGAATCCCTAAGGACCTCAGTTAGTTTACTGCCTCTAAAAGGTATATGGCCTTGATCATTGTCAAGAGCTCTAATGCATTCCTTCAATGCAAGCAAGCTTTTATTTATTTCAGCTCCTTCAATCCTGTGGAACACCATTTGAAAAAGAGAGAATGAACAAAAAAATCATTCATGAACAATGAGATGAGCATACAGTTCATCAGTCGCATATGATGAAGCATTATCATGCCAAAATAATAAATGAACGGTGAGGTTCCATTTTATTAAGAGAACAGCTTTCCATTATTTATTTTATGGGGGCATACTAGGATGCTAAGTTGCGCTGGATAATTAGAAAATATTTAGTAGTTATACAAACCTTGTCTGCTTATCATTATCAGTAGTATCAGCACCACGTTCACTTCCTGCCAGATCGATAAAAGAGAGCTTTCCAATTACTCGTGCAGGCTTGGTTTCACTGCCATCGGCAGACCTCTTAATAGAAAGTTGAAGTATAGCATGTGACCGAGACGACTCTTCATTGGCACCAGTGGTGCCTGTACTTCTTGTCGCATTTCCTCTCTCAATTAGTTCCTTGATCATCTCCACATCTGAAACCCTGTACTCTTGCAAGCCCACAATACACACTTGCTGCTTAGCATCTTCTCTCATGCAAAGTTTTCTGTGAAAAGAAGCTTCATTTATCAAGAACTATGAAAATAAAGGTTGAACAACCTGAAATTTTCAGTGGAACTTTTCTAGAAGCCAAGAAGACTTACTTCCTGTCATTAAGAAGGTCAAACAGTTTTCCTCCATAAATCTCAAAGAAGCCAACAAATAATTGAAAGCCTAGATTCCGATAGGTGTGGTGCATGAGCCGCAGGATGTCCCTAGATGCCTTCAAGGGCAGTGGCTTCATTGTATATGTTTTTCCGCTTCCTTTAGATTATTTCAAATAATTAAATAAGACATTGAAAGCAAAGAAAATGCAAGGCAGAACCAAGTCAAAAGGGACTGATTTTTCAAAATGCATAATCATAGATGATATTATTATACATGAAAACGCATATTGTGTGTTCGATAGAGCTACAGGAGGGCGCCACATGTATCCTTGCACCATCTTATTTCATGAGAGATATGGTAAGTTGGGAATTCCATTGCCTCTATTTCCAATGCAGTTAATGACAGGTCACAGCTTCCCATAAATTATTAAAGAGTACACTTGTGAAAGAAAATGACTTGTGGTTTCGGCAGACTACATTAGAGAGCCACTTGAATTTGGAAAAAACAAAACTGGCATATAGTGATGTATGGATTGTATGCAAAACATTTTAAAAATATACTCCGTACATATCGTAAGGTGAGAAGAGAACAATGTTTTTAACACATTAGGATCAAGCAGTCAAAAACTGATTGAAACAGGGTCTCTAATACTCTCAATATACCTGTTTGCCCATATGCAAAGCAAGTGGCTTTTGTCCGTTGGAAAATTATCGGAACGATGGGCTCAACGGTTTCACGATACACCTAAAGAAATTATATACCAAAGGTTCATTGGCTCATAATCACACACAGGATTATGTATCTAAATATAAATTGAGTTGGACGTGTAATCACCTCGTCATTTGAAACCTCCTCATTCAACACTGCATCAAAGACAAACTCATGTTTTTCAAGATACTGAGTTAGGTCAACCTGTGCAAACAATGTGTAGTTAAGGACTTTCAATTATTCAAAACCACTTCTCTTACACACAAAAAAGATCAAAACCATGAGCATATTGGACCAACATAAAAAACATTAAAGAATGGAAAATTTCATGGTATAATCTATAAAATCATGGTGCATGGCAGTGGTTGTATATGGTCCGAAAACCTTTCCGTCTGATTCTTAGTCAGGAAAAAAACAAACTTAATAAAAAACTGAAGACATCACAAAAACTCAATTCATTAAGAAGAACTCTAGAACGCTGATGTACTTAGAGACACTGCTAATTGGAAATGGATAAACAACAGCCACAACAACAACAAACCTAGTATATTCCCAGTTCCAATGGAAACTGGGGGTCAATATGTATGTAACAGTGCCCTTGTATTTGCAGTATAGCACGAAAAAAAAGAGACCTAATTCTTTAAGAGCAATACGGAATCCATTTTAATACTGATTATTTGCATAAACAATAGAGCACAGTCATAAATTTCTGGAGCACAGACCTTAAGCTTTGTCTCATGAACTGTCAAGGTGTTTGTTCGAGTTTCTATGATGTCTTCTTCATTCTTTGTCAATTCCTTTTTGTTTAACGGTCTCTTTCGAACCTGCAATCATTAAACCGTTTGCAACAAATTTAAACACCGAAATTATACAGTTACATAAAGTAAAAAAGCTCATTTAGCAATTCCCAAAGAATGACTAAAATAATTGCAAAGTCATTGGTGGTGCATTCAATTACATGGCAGCAGCGGAAGGGGTTAAAGAACTACACAATAATAGACAAGAATTAGGGATTGAAGAGACATACCACTACTTTGATCTTTGCAACATTGCTAGTCTTTTCTTTATCAGTTGCCAAGCTCCTCATAACATTGCTATCATGGCTTCGAACTTTGTCATTTTGTTTATAGTTTGCAAAGTATGCTTCTGTGTCATCACTGCTTTTGCTTCGAGTAAATTGATGTATTGAAGACGCACCGTGCTGACCATGAAGCGGAAACTGTTAGAGATAGAAGAAGGAAGCGGGATTGAAGAAGGAAAGTGTTAGAGACAGAAGAAGAAAGCGGGATTGAAGAAGGAAACCGAATCCCTTTGGGATTAGGTTTAGTATCTTTGAGAAATAAAAATTGAAATCCAAAGCCAAATAAAACTATACGCTACTTGTGGAGGTAGTTTAATGCTGAGAACATAGCAATAAAATACGGAGTATGATACTAGGTGAGATAAAGAACGTCAAGTATCTTGAAACATTAGGAGTGGTAAACATGAGGGGAAAAAATTAAATCCAGATGCATGATTTATACTACAATCGAACCTTAGTGCTGTTTTGAAACTACAACTACTTGCATTGACAAACAAGGTAATAAAAAACAATAATTTGACAATGCATAGTAGAAGCCAAATTTTATCCAACAATCCCAAGTTTAATCTTCAACAAATCGACAATGAATGGCATTTCAGGAGAATACCTCTTAACCCACACTTCAACAAAAGCTATGAATAGAATACAAATACAAAAGCATACACTTATCAAACACTAGAAGAATTTTAAAAAACAGAGTAAAATCCAGTCCGAAAAACATAATGGTGGGAATCAAAATTGTGAACTTCTAAACTCCACTCAACCATAATTAGGGGGAAAAAAGCTTAGAATAATGGATAAGAAAAACCTCTGGGAGAAGCTCAGTATCCAATGAATGTAGATCTAAAAGTCCTGGGCTGAACTCGTTTGGCAGGACCTGGTCATCCCCATTTCTCCTCTGGTCGGACGGGGTCAATGGCTCCAAAAAGATATCGCTCCCTCCTCCGTAGGTGCTCTGGTGACCTCCATAGACTCTTGAATTCTGAGTTCCGCCGTAGTACCCGGAATCCTACTCCAGTAATCAAAACAAAAATCAAATTTTAACAATCGATCCCTCGATCTAAGAACGAACAAACATCACACGAATTATAGAGACAAATGCAAACGCGCGTTCATACCTGTAGATGAGGAATGTAGTTGCTAGAAGATGACTGAGAGTGTTGAAGGCCGGCGGGCAACTGTAGCCATCGGTCGCCGGATGGATTCTCGATGAAGCCATCAGGGAACTGCGGCGGTTGAGGGTGTGCCGCCGCACCGGATCTCTGTCTCCTGACGGCTTTCATGTCAACTGTTACAGCTCCGACCAGATCAACCTCGATTAGAAGCCAGTGGCTCCAAAAGCAAAAAAACAAAGAGAATGAAGAAAATATTTTTCTCCCTCCCCCCAAAGTGTTTCTCTCTCTAGATTCAAATTAGAGAGAAAGTAGCAGGGAGGTTTGAACTTTGAAGTTCTGTCCCTTTTCAACGGATTTGTCTTTTCAATTAAAGTATGAAAATACTCTCGTGTCACCCCTGAAAATATACGTTATTTACAAAATTTTATACGGAGTAATTAGATTGTAGCCTTGTAGGTCTGGATTGGTAAAATTAAAAATAATTATATTGTGCAAATAAATATATCAAATCGAAAAAATGGAAATCGTATACAAAAAATTGAAACCAATTATTTTGCTTTGGTTTTCATTTCGGTTTTGGATTTTTGAAAATAGAACCGAACCATTTTAAAGTGAAGTATACTGAAAATATGTGAAAACTATTTTTTAGAATGTATTTCTTTCTTTTATCTTTTAATCATATACTCCGTATTATTTACTCTTTACTTTCGAACATATTTTGTTTTATTAGTAATTTTTTTTCTTTAGAAGTTCCAAATTAGTTAAAGAGAATAACTAAATTACCTCAAAAATTTTAAGATAATGAAGAAAAATTGTTATTGCATTTCAAGGATTGATTTGTTCAAATATTCAATTTGAAGATCGACTTTGTTGTATTGCACTTACACTAGACTCGAACCCATGCGTTGCACAGCCTAATTAAAAGCTAAAAAATGAGTGAAAGTATTGACGTTAGAATTCAATATGATTCAATTAACATATGAATATATAATGAAATATTTTAGAGGAGAAAATATACAATGATATAGATTGTGGAACCATTACAATATTACATTATAAGTTTTGGAAAACTTTTTTATAAACTACATTGGCAGTTTGGTTCATCTTAGATGGGCCTTCATTGCATATCAAGATCTTTAAACCTCTGCGATTTCTGATACGTGAAAGCGCTACATAAAGCTGGCCATGGCTGAAAACTGACTTCTTTAATAAAAGCCCAACATGCGACAATGATTGCCCTTGACTTTCATTAATTGTCATTACATATGAAATCATAATTGGAAATTGTTTCCTTTGAAACCTAAAAGGAGTCTTGGGATCTGACGGTGTAAGAAACAACCGTGGGATAACAACCTCTTGTCCAATATTTTTCCCCGTAAGCACTGTAGCTTGAATAAAATGATTGCCCAGTCGAGTAATAATCAACCTTGTCCCATTGCACAAACCTAAAGATTGATCAATATTCCTCAACAACATGATTGGTGTTTCAATATTTAACTTCAACTCATGGTTTGGCACACCAGATGCTCGTATGGTATTCAGAAATTCAGGAGAATGCATGTCCGTCAAGAAGTCTATGTTTGAATCAGATTTACACACTGCATCAGAACTTAAGTAAGTTTTTGCTTCTCCGACGTTGTTTAATGACGTCAAGCATGTATTCATTTATTTCATCCACAACTTCTAGTTTGGTGCCAAGATTGCTCGACTTTGCAAATATGTTGGATCATTTGCAATATTGTTGAAGTCTGGATAAGTTGCATTTACTATAGATGCAATTGGATCATCTATAGTTTTTAACATATCTCCTGGGATAATTACTTCACCAACTCCATTATTTTCTCGCCCGGCAAAACCATCACCGATACTCGCAATCCACTCTGCAAGATTCTCTCATGCTCTCAAAGTTGTCATCACGCGACAAGTGTTGTAAACGCATGTTAGTTGTCAAGCGTAAGACCGTGCAATATTTCCACAATTACGAAGAGTTAATCGTAGCATTGATGATGTCTTGCCTTCTTCCTTTAGGTATGACGAGTAGAATTTGTCAAAAATCTCCTCCAAACACAATTGTCTTTCCTCCAAAAGGAAGATTTGAATTTGATGGACAAACTACACTCATTACATCACTCTTATTCTTTATTCGTACTCATGATCTTCTAGTGTAACTTCCATCAATTTTTGTTCTCCGCCTCTATTAATGTTTGTTTGAACCTTTGTTCGGGCAACAATCTTTCCAATCATGTCTGCATAAATATTTTGTGAATATTAGCTCTTTGTACGATTGATATTTCAAACTGTTTTTGCCAAATGTGACAACAATTAACAATATTTCTTCTTAGTAAAAAAATCCATAAATTTTGTAGTATGAAAAAGCCAGGATTAATCAAGAGCCATGTTTGATCACCGGTGCCTAATGACTATTGCAGAACTTGATTCGGCAAAAGCCATGTTTAATCAACAAGTAGAAAAGTCTGTATATGAGAAATTCAGTTTGGATTGTATATTGGTGCTTGCAAAGAAGATGCACAGATTTTTTTAGCAGGCAACATAACATATTTTAGAAGATGCACAATTGAGAGTTTCTGCCGCGGAAAAATTTGCTGCTGTGGCAGCTTATTTTAAAGTTTCATACGTACGAAAATATTTTAATAAAGAAACTTAACCTTTCAAAAAACAAATAAAGAAGTTTTAAAAATATATTTTAATGAAATAATAACAATCAAAACTTGAAACATGGTTGGCTTTGAAGAATTGGAAATGGTTTTAAGTCAAACATCATCCGTGGAAAATCACTCCGATTCAAAGTTTTCACTTCAGTTTCTCTGAAAAAACCAAAGAGCTTATCATTTGCGGTTGTTTTCAAACTTTGATGAACAAAAACATTTCAAATGGCAAAACACCATTCAATTCACCAACACTTCAGTTAGGTTTTTTGCAATATTTGTTTTGGTTTGTTATTTTTTTTCAGTTTTTACAATCTTTGCGAAAAATTTTGTGATTGGTTCAATACATGCCCACCCTTAAAGAATTGTACGTGTGGTACCATTTTTAAAATGGAGATCTTACTTTATTAATGAGTGCAAATATAAGAGCACAGAAAGTACTCGTAACGCCGGGGTGTTTTTGTCATTTTTAACCCCCTGGGGCTTCATCGAGGCGTTAGTGGTATCTCGTCAAACATTTAATAGGCAGAAGAAAGGCATTGAAAGCAAGCCCCAGCTAAACGACTTTCCTGCCGTTAAAAAATCCACCCCTCCCCCTGCTACATATATTCATTATCATTTTAAAAAATAAAAACACAAACACAATTCTTTATATTTATTTTCTCTCTTCTATCTCAATTTTTTTTAAACTTTTTGTCTTATTTTTAAATTTTGATCATGAATCTATACGGTTCCTCCTTTTTTACGTCTAGTCTTGAGCCAAACGAGTACACGATGGGGAAATGAAAGAAAGAGAAGGAAGATGTCGAAATAATGGAAGCCGGACCTTGATACGTTAACGAGATTCAAACGTATGTCTTACGAGAGAATACAAAACGAGATCAAGGCAGAATGTAATATGATTTAGTTTTTTTATTAATGTACTTTTTTAATTAAATGTTTTTTTATTGAATGTTTTTTTATTTAATGAAGCCAGTGTAAAGCCGTGCTTCAAGTCCATTTATAGTGAAAGTATGAGGTATGTTAAAGGAGTTAAAGCTGAAATAGCTGAGAGAAAGTTTGAAGGCCCGGGCTTGATATGTATTTCCATGCCCTAAGGTGTAATCAACTCTAAACTCTAGTCCAATCTTTATATATACAAAGCTAATGTGTAAAAGATGAACAGTGAAAATATCTACCTAATTGTTATGGGCTCGGGTTGGAAATGGGCCAAATAAATGGGAGAACGGGCCTGATGGGGGATGGTCACTTTATAAAGAAATGTGATATTAATTAGTTTGCATGTGATAGTGTGCGATGACGGCTTAGTTTCGGTGAATGTGTTTATTACTAGGGAAGAGAAAGGGGTGATGCCGGTCAGGAAATGGAAAAGAAATTTTATGGAACAATGTATTATGGATCTTGAAACGGGCTACTATATGGGAAAAGACCATTTTATAGGAAAAGGTGTATCATAATTATTTTGTACATGGGAGTGTGTGAAGATGATTTAGTTTGGATATTGTAAAAGGCCATGCGGCCCACTTTATTGAAAGTTCTCATCCAATATATATAGCTTTTGAATTGGGGGCAGTGCATTGGCGGCTTGCATGCGGGTAGTGTAATGGTGGCGTGGAGAGCTGAATATACACATCTTTTGAGACAGGAGCATAATTACACAAGATTTCTAAATCTTTAGATTCCGGTGTAAATACTTTGGATTGCACATCTCAACTTTGCTGCACACTATAAATACATGTTCCCATAAAAATTACATTATCATATCCACACTATTTCATTTTTTCATTTTATTTTTTCGTTTATCAACTGTGATGCACTATAAACAAAAATATTCTAGCAACACATTTTGGTAAAGAAGCTTCTTTTGCTTTTTTTGTTCTTTTTTTCTTTGGTGTTTGTTGTTTCTTCATTTTTCAATTTTTTCTTTGCTTCTTCTTCATTTTTATTCTTTGTTTTTTCATTTTTAGTTTTAAAACTTGTTAAAAAAATTTAAAGTTTTTTAATTTTTAATTATTTTTCAAGATGTCCTTTGACATAACAGAACGTTTTCCTTAAAATTTGTACTAATTTAATTACATTTTATACAATTTAATTACATTTTAGTTCAGTTTGAATTTAAATTTATTATTAATTCTATTAAATTTTTATTCTTTACATTTTAGATAAATGATTGGATGTGTAATAGCCAGGTAAAAATCTAGTGACTTAACGACAAAGGGAGCTGGGAGGGAGCACTTGCTACGTGCTAAGTTGCTAGTGAAGAAAGTACAAGAATTTAATGAAGCTCCATTTCTGGCTAAGGCATTTGCAGTACCAATAGCCTCATGATAGGTATGCCGGAGCTTTAAGGTGAACACAGATATTCATAGACACCTCTACCTACACTATCATTATACAGTGTAAATGGAAAATGCCTTTGACAATAAATTTGCCTTTGACATAACAAGTAGGGTTTCCCTTGAAGCGGGTGGCCTAAAGTGTAATGTCAACACTAACTTTTGTTTAAATACCGGCGATGCAAGGGTTAGGGTTGTGGTGTGTAACGCTCAAGGGCTCTTTATACGAGGCATGCACCGATGTCTTGGGAGAACAAAAAGTGCTTTGCTTGCTGAGGCAATGGGGGCACGGGAGGCATCGAAATATATAGCTAAAAGACGATTTTGCCCAAC